CTTCCACCTGTATACTATCTCTTTCCATATTTTTGTGACACCACTCTCTCCTACTTCCTCAGTCTGACTACTTCTTTTGCTGGACCATGTTCCATATCTATTCTTTAACCATAGGTGTCCCACAAGAGTCTGTCCTGTGTCAAGTACTCTTCTCTCCAGTGATCTTATCAACTTCCACGGGCTTAATTATCATCTCTATGCCTACAACCTTCATCTATGTAGCCAGCCTATATCTCTCTCCTGGCTCACAGTCCTGCATCATTATCACCTATTAATTTGAAATGATGTCCCATTGACAGATACTTCAAACTCAATAAACTTATTGTCTTTTCCCCCCAAGTCCTCCTTTCTGAATTTCCCTACTTCTTTTGAAGGTACAATCATTTCATTTTCTTAGGTTTGTAACCTCAGAGTCATCCTTGGTTCATTCTCTTCCCTTCCCTCCCATATTCAATCAGTTTCCAACTCCTTTTTTGATTCTACTTCTATACTGACTTCTTTCTATTCACCACTCTTCATCATTTTTCCTTGACTATTGATTGCAACATTCTCCTCGTTAGACTTTTGGTTTATTGTTTCTTCTCTCCAATTCATCCTCCACACACCTATTAATTCATAAGGGACCATGTCACTTTTCAAGAACCTTTAATGTCTCTTTATTGCCTTTTAGATAAATTAAAACTCCTCAGCTTAGCATGTATAGTGTTGGTCTGAGCCCTTATTTCACATTATCCTTCATGAATTGTTTTAGTTACTGATACCCAAACTTAGCCTTCTATTTATTACCTCTGTACCTTTGCATAAGATTGTCCTGCATGCCCTGAATATAGTCCTTTTTCACCTCTACCTTTTAAGAGTCCCAGCATCCTTCAGGGCTCAACCCATGTGCAATCTTCTATAATCCCTCTTTCCTTTCTTTTATCTTTCTTTTCTTCATAAGTCATTATGTATGTTATCCTTACCTGTTTGTAAGTTCCATGAGCACAACAGGGACTGTTTTTCTTTTTTTCCCATTGTATCTTAAAACAATTTCTCACACAGAGTAGGCATATAATAAATGCTTACTGGATTGGATGAATAGCCTGTCTTCTCATTTGTAGTCACCCAAACAAAAAGCCTCAACCCTTAAGAAGACTCTCTTTGATTTACTGTTTAAAAGGATAGCTAAGGATTGGTGTTCAATGTTTTTTTTTAGGCATCCTCAGCACCTATTATATGCTAAGCACAGTGCTAAAGGCTGGGAGATACAACAAGAAGCAGAAACTATTCCTTCCCTTCTGAACCTTGAAATCTAATTGGGAAGAGGGCAAACCTGGGGAGTGGTGGCCAGGGAGGGGCACTTTGGTCTGAAAGGTACAGGAATAGTGATTGTGGCCAGGGTGGAATAAAATGACATACTCCATTCAGGAACAAAGTAGATTTGATCTTGGGTGAGGAAATGAAGGGTAGAAGAAACACCAAATACTAAAGGCTTTCCTAAAAAGATTAGGGGGTAAAGAAAGGTTACTTGTTACCATCATTATTTAATAGTTTTAGAAATGCTACCTAAAGCAGTAATACCAGAAAAAGAAATTTAGGGAATATGTAGAAGCAAAGAGGAAACAAAATTATCATTACTTGCAGACAATATGATGGTTTTACTTAGAGAATCCTAGAGATTCAATTACAAATTAATTGAAAACAATACCTTCAATAAAGTAGAGCATATTTAAAAATCCACAAAAATCAATAGTCTTTCTGTTTATTACTTACAAAACCCAGTAGGCAGAAATAGAAAAAAATGTAATTCAAAATAAGTACGTGATATATTTAGAATATTTTGTCTGCTAGTCTATCAACCAAGACATCCCCAAGACTTATATAAAAAGCCAGTTAACTAGCATTTATTAAGTGCCTACTATGTGCCAGGCACATAAGTTAAGTGCTGGTGACATAAAGGCAAAAATCAGTTTCTACTCTCAAGGAGCTCACAGTCTAATGGGGAAGACAGCACACAAACATTCATATACAAATAAGATATGACAGGCTAAATTGGAGGTAGTCTCAGAGCGAAGGCATGAAGATTAAGGAATGGGAAAGGCTTCTTTCGGAAGGTAAGACTTTAGCTGAGACTCTAAGGAAGTCAGGGAAACCAGGAGGTAAAGATGAGGAGGGACAGGGTTCTAGGCATGGGAGACAGCCAGTGAAAATAGTCAAGAGTCAAGAGATGATGGGGTGTCATGTGTAAGAAACAGTAAAGAGGCCATTGTCACTCTATCACAGAGTACATGGGACTGAGTAAGGCGTAAGATAGATAGGGGCTAGGTTATGAAAGGCTTTGGAAATCAAACAGAGGATTTTATATTTTATTCTGGAGGTAATAGGGAGTCACTGGACTTTACTGAATAGGGGTTGATATGGTCAGATCTCTTCTTTTGACAGCTAAGTGGATGTTTGATTGGAGTGGGCAGAGACATGAGGCAGGGAGACTAACTAGCAGGCTATTGTAATAGTCCAGGAGTGAGGTGATGAGGGCTTGTATCTAGGTTGTTGTAGTGCCCGACAAAGGAGATTATATAAATTGTTATGAAGGTAAAATAGAAAAGACTTGGCAACAGATTGTATATAGGGATTGAGAGTTTTGTTTTTGCAAAAATAAATGAAGATTTAAATGAGTGGAGAAATATTGCCTATGATTGGGCTGTGCCAATATAATAAAAATGATTTTACAGTATCTAAAGTAATTTATAGACTTGGTATAATACCAATCAAATGACTAAGGGGTTATTTTGTCAATTTAGACAAAATAATAGCAAAATTTATCTGGAGGAACAAAAGGTCAAGTATTTCAAGAGAAATAATAAAAAAAGAGAATGAAAGAGGCCCCAGATCTCAGATTATACTATAAAGCAGTAATCATTAAAACAACTTGATACTGGTTAAAAAGTAGAAACGTTGGTCAATGGAACAAACTAAGTAAATAAGACCTAGAAACAACTGGATATAGTTATAGTGTCCAATAAACTCATGGACACTAACTGCTGGAGGAAGGACTCCCTATTTGACAAAAATTGCTGGGAAAATTGGATAGCAGTTTGACAAAAATGAGGTTTAGACAAGAACCATATACTACAATAAACTCCAAATGGATAAATGACTCAAATATAAAAAGTAGTATCATAAAAAACATTTAGGACAAAGGAAGGAGATATGTCACAACTATGAAAAGGGAGAGAATTCGTCACTAGAGATCCAAAGGGATGGTAGTTATGATAAAAGATAAAATGAACAATTTTGATCATATAATATTGAAAACCTTCTGCACAAGTAAAATAAGTGCAGTAATAATCAGAAAGGAAACAAATGGAAAAAAATCTTCGTAGCAAATTTCTTCAATGAAAGTCTAGTATCTGGAATATTAAAGAGTTGATACAAATAAATAATGAGAATCATTCCCCAATAGATAAGTGATCAAAGAATATGAACAGTCATTTCTAAAATGAAGCAAGCTATCAACAGCCATATTAAAAAATACTCCAAATTACTAATTGTGAAGAGCAAGACAACTCTGAGGATCCACTTCACACACATCAGATTAGCAAAGATGACAAAAGAGGAGAATAGCAATTGTTGCAGCAGTGATGGAAAGACAGGCACACTGAAACTGAATTGGTTCAATCATTCATATATAATATTTACAGATACAGAATGTTTATATATTACATATTTTCATATATACATATATGTACACACATATGTGTATCTTTCTCTCTAAATACCTATATAAGTACTTACTATGTACCAGCCAGGGCAATTGGATAGAGTGCTGGCCCTGGAGCAGAGGACCTGAGTTCAAATGTAGCCTCAGTCACTTACTAGCTGTGTGACCTTGGGCAAGTCACTTAACTCTGTTTGCCTCAGTTTAAAGGGACAGGAATGGGTAGATTTAATTCAGGTGATCATTACATTTAGCACTGTGGGCAAAAATACCTTAGAAGAAATGGAGTAGCCCTCACAGTCAATAAAAGGGTGAGAAAAGTAGTGCTGAGGTATAATCTCGAAAATGGCTGAATGACATCTATTCAAATCCACCGCAAACCGTTCAGCATCAAAGTAATACAAGTCTATGCTCCAATCACTGATGCCAAAGAGGTGAAGGTTGATCAGTTCTGTGAAGACCTACAACATTGTCTAGAAATAACACCAGAAAAGAGATGTCATGTTCATCATATGGAACTGAAATGCCACAGTAGGAAATCAAAAGATAACTGGAATAACAGTTAAGTTTGACCTTGGTATACCAAATGAAGCAGGGTAGAGACTAATAGAGTTTTGTTAAAATAATTCACTGGTCATAGCAAACACTTTTCAACAACTCAAAAGGCGTCTCCACACATGGACATCACCAGATGGTCAATATAGAAATCAGATTGATTATATATTTTGCAGCCAAAGGTGGAGAAGATCTATACAGTTAGTTAAAACAAGACCTGGAGCTGACTGTGGATCAGATCATGAGCTTCTTATTGCAAAATTCAGATTAAATTGGAGAAGGGAAAACCATCTGACAATATAGGTATGAACTAAATAACATCCTTTATGAATATGAAGTGGAAGTGATGATTTAATGATATGATGAAAATAGATTTAAGGGATTAGATCTGTTAGATAGAGTACCTGAAGAACTCTGGACAGGGGTTCACTATACTGTACAGGAAGCAGCAACAAAGAACATTCCAAAGAAAGAGAAGAGTTAGAAAGCAAAATGGCTGTCTGATGAGACTCTGAAAATAGCTAAGGAAAGAAGGAAAGCAAAAGGTAAAAGGAGAAAGGGAAAGATCTATCCAACTGAATGTAGAATTTCAGAGAATAGCAAGGAGAGGTAAGGTTTTTCTTAAATAAGCAATGCAAAGAAATAGAAGAAAATAGAGGGAAAGACAAGAGATCTCTTAAAAAAAATTAGAGACATCAAGGGAAAGTTTCATGCAAAAATGGGCATGATAAAAGACAAAAATGGCAGGGACTTGACAGAAGTAGAAGAGATTAAGAAGAGAAGACAAGAATATGCAGAACTATACAAGAAAGATCTTAATATAACTGAGATAAGCATGATGGTGTGGTCACTGATGTGGAGCCAAACATCCTGGAGAACGAGGTCAAGTAGGCCTTAGGAAGCATTGCTAACAATAAGGCTAGTGGAGATGATGGAATTTCAGCTGAGCTATTTCAAATCCTCAAAGATGCTGCTGCTAACATGCTGCATTCAATATGCCAGCAAATCTGGAAAATACAACAATGGCCATTGGATTGGAAAAGATCAATTTACATCACAAATCAAAAGAAGGGCAATACCAAAAAATGTTCAAATTACTGAACAATTGCACTCATTTCATATGCCAGCAAGGTTCTGTTAAAGATTCTGCAAGCTAAGCTTTAGCAATAAGTGAACTGATAATTACCAGAAGAGTAGGCTGGTTTTCAACGAGACAGAACTGGGGACCAAGTTGTCAACATTCGCTGCATTATGGAGAAAGCAAAGGAATTCTAGAAAAAAAAAATCTGTTTCTATTTCATTGAGTACAGCCTTTGACTGTGTGGATCACAACAAAATGTGACAAGTCCTCAAAGAGATGGGGGTGCTACAGCATCATACTTGTCTCCTTAGGAACCTGTATGCTGGCCAAGAAACAACAGTTAGAACCAAACATGGAACAAATGATTGGTTTAAATTTAGAAAAGAGGCATGACAAGGCTGTACGTTGTCACCTTATTTAACTTATATACAGAGCATAGAATATGAAATGACAGGCTGAACAAATCAAAAGCCAGAAGTAAGGTTGCTGGGACAAATATTAACAATCATAGATATGCAGATGTTACCACTCTGATGGCAGAAAGTGAAAAATTAAGAAGCCTCTTAATGAGGGTAAAAGAGGAGAGTGTAAAAGCTGGTTTGAAGCTTATTATTAAAAAAACAAACAAACAAACCAAACCAAACCTAAGATCTTGCAACTGGTCCCATTACTTCCTGGCAAATAGAGGCAGAAGAAATGGAAGCTGTGTCAGATTTTATATTCTTGGGTACAAAGATCACTGAAGATGGTGACTGTAGCCACGAAATTAAAAGATGCTTGCTCCTTGGAAGGAAAGCTACAGCAAATTTGGACAGCATTCAAAAAGGAGAGAGACAGCGCCTTGCTGACAAAGGTTCATATGGTCAAAGCTATGGTTTCTCCAGTAGCAATATATGGCTGTGAGAACTGGACTACAAGAAAAACTGAGCACTGCAGAATCAATGCTTTCAAATTGTTGTTCTGGAGAAGACTTGAAATTCTCTTGGACAGCAAGGAGATCAAATCAATTAATCAATACTTAGAGAAAGGAAATGACTTAGACTATTCATTGGAAGGTAAAATATTGAAGCTGAAATATTTGGCCACATGAAAACAGAGGACTCACTGGAAAAGACCCTGATGTTGGGCAACAGTGAAGGCAAAAGGAAAAGAGGATGGCAGAGGATAGTGTCCTGGAAACAATGACCATGAGCTTGGAGAGACTTTATGAGATAGTAGAGGATAGAAGGGCCTGGCATGCTATAGCATGTCCATGCGGTCATGAGTCAGACACTACTGAACACAACAACAAAGGTGCCAGGCACTGTGCTAAGTGCTGGGGATGTCTTGATGACATCCCATTTCCCATCTGGATACTTTTGTTGTGGACTTTTTTGGCTTCTCCCATGCTTCCAGGAAACTCATCATTGGGAAATCTCATCTTCCAAGATCCAATCAGCCTTGTTTATTAGTACCTTCTGCCCTTCTTATTGGAGAAAAGAACCCTTAATTCCTCCATTTAAGGAGGAGAATAGGACTGATGTCTCATTTTTCACTCACCAGCACTCACTGTGGGCTTTGCTTTCTCCACCATTCCATGTGAGCCCTTTCACCATCTTCTTTCAGTTTTCTTTTGTATGATTTCCCCCCATTAGATTGTAGTAAGGCTCCTTGAAAGTAGGGACTTTGTAATATTTGTATCTCCAGCACCTGGCACAGTACCTGTAAGCACTTATGTATTTATTGATTGACTATTTATTGACTGACGGACACAGTAGAGAAGTGATAGAACAGAGGTCCAGAATCAGATATGCATTTTTTTGGATGTGGACAATTTCTTGATATGTTTTGCCTGATTACATAAATTTGCTATAATGGAGGGCTTCCATTTGGGGGCAAGGGAGAGGTGAGTTGGTAGGAAGTACATTAATACGGAAAAAGAATATTAATAAAGCATTTTAAAAGTTTAATAGTAAATAAAGGAAATCTGTCACTTGGATTATATTGACACAATATCAAGTATCTGGATAAAACCAAATTGAAAATATATTTTCAAAGTAAAGTATTTGGCTATTTTAAAATGTCCAGGTGCTTTTTATCACATAACTCTAAGTCTTTGATAGTAAGGTTGGCCAGTATTTATTTCTAGACTGTTCCTTAATTTTAAGGATTCTAGGAACATGGGAACAAGAAGTAGCCACAAGTGGTTTCTTTGGAAACAGCCTTGAAGAATACTCTACTTAGTATCAATAGTGTTAAACCAGCAAGTAAGGGTAAAATTTCAAAAATGAAATGGAATGGAAGACTTAAGCATTTCTGAAGAAAAGACCACCACTGAATAAAAACGTTGAAATGAAAACTCAGACAAGAGAAAGCTAGAAAGGTAAATTTAAGACCTCTGATCGATGCAATGAATAACCATGTCTCCAAAGCCTGTCACCTCCTGACGAAAAAGTGATGGACTCAAGGACAGAAAGAGATAGATATTTTTGCACTTGGTTACTGTGTGGATTCATTTTGTTTGACTGAGGTGTTACAAGTTTTTTTCAGTTTTTAATGGAGGGGTGGAGGAAAAAGCAGATTAGCAATTATGATGCCAAATAAAGTGGGCCATTGAAACATTTTTTAAAAATGCATAGAAGAAAACAGAAACAAGTATAGATAAGCAAGTTGGTTTGGAAAGTAACATATAAAATTTATCATTTAAAAAAAGCAAGAAGTATAAAGCAGAGATTCATAGTTTCATACACAATCCCTCTGTGTTCTGTATGGAAAGGCTCATTTATTGGGGGGGTTGTTTTAAGTTAAAAATTTTTAAAAAGGAAAAAAGGTTCTGGGTCCTATTTAAAAATTAATTGTGAAGGCTGGGCGCTGGGGGTATCAATGGCAGACAAACAGAAACTCAGAAAAGTTCTGTTGTGACTCAGAAAATACGTGAGGTCAATTAGCTTAACTGGCTGAGACTTAAGGACAAACTCTTCCTCTATCAGGAAAATCTCCCAACTGTTTCCAGTGAATTGAAATTAGGATCTTGAATATTTTATTGCTCAAATGTCTTTAATAATATTTTTGGTAACAAAAGGTGAAAACTTTTGTTACCAAAAAATATTAAAGGTACCCACTTTGTTATAAACAAATTATCCTACAAAGCTAATGAACTGGAATCTGTGAAAGCCTGATTCCTCCTCTCCAAAAAAAATCTACTTTGAAAATGATATCAAATCCAACTATCACCAAATTCTCTTTCTGCCAGATGCCTTACATTTGTGAATATATTTTTAATGGCATTAGGAACCTTTTCAATATAAACTGCTGTTAACATTCGTAAGCTATGACCCAATAATTATATTGTGTATGGTCTAGCATATTATTACATGGTTGGATATAATGAGCTACTGGTTGAAGGTCAGAGAAATCTACTTTGGTATAAAGGGAGCCGCTGTCTTCAGAAGTCTCTCTGTGCATCTAAAACAGAAAGTTAGAGATTTTTTTTTTTAGAAAAGCAGTATCAGAAGATAGTAAGAAACAATCAATTATTTCTACATTTAAATGTTATTGCTTTCAAAGAATTCTCAGTCCTGTAAAAGACTTGCTCTTATGTTTACTGAAACCTACATTGTAGGTTGGTACAGTATAAGAGGTATACTTGTAACTTAGTGTTAATAGTGTCTCATCATGGCAATTAATGTGGCTTTCTAATTTTAAGTCACAACTGTGTTCATTCTCTCAACATATACTTATTGATTTCCTTCTATGTATGAGGCACTATATAGGGCTCTGTTCCTTAAATTTTCATATAGATGCTTCAAAAGGAAGTGAGAAACCTGTATTTCCATAATACTGCCATATACTTCTAGAGAAAGGAATCATGACTTTTAAAACACTCTAAGGATATCAAAACCAAGTCAATAAATTTAGGATAATGCTGAGATTAGAACCTAACAATTTCTCTTCTTCCTATACTTTACTCCTCCCCTACACTTAGTTCCAGGCAGATTAAAGGTGGAAGGCCGTGGAAATAGCTAATTTTTGAATGCTTACCACTCTTTTTCAGAAGTTCTCCTTTTCTGGACTTATCCAGTTCTTCCAAAAATTGTTCAAAACTTTTCACATAGGGAGCCAAACTGGTCTTCTTATAATCTAAGGGACAAATAAAAGGTGTTCAACTCAATATTTTAGCATCAAAGGCTTCATGATTGTGGTCATGGAGCCTATAAATGTTCTTTAATATACTCCATTCCTGTTTGGTTGACTGCTTTCATTGTTATTGTAGTAATAGGCAAACTCAAATTACTATTTATTTGAGATTCTTCCTCTTAGAAACTTTGACTTCCAATAGTAAGTTTCCTAAAATAGCAATATATTTTGGGGTGATCAGGCCCATGATTTTTGGAGACATTAGGACTGTGATGCTGAAACAAAGAATATACATTTTTTCAAAGTATGCAAAGCAAAGGTTTTATGTTGAATTCTCTTCTTTTTTACACTACAATATGTGAGTTGTATATGTGCAGGGAAAAAAATCTACTTTGGAAACTTTTGGCAAGGAAGGGGGTAAGATGGCTTGGAGGTCTATCTCATATTGGGTGTTACAGTGGTCTAGGAGTATCTCTGCAGAAGTTACAATCCTCACTTAAGCAGGCTTAATTTAAAACAAAATAAAACAAATATGAAACATCCGCAAGAAGCTTTTTGTAGTTGTTCAGTCTTCCGTCATGTTGGAGTCCTCATGACCTTATTTGGGTTTTTTTGGCGGAGATAATAGAGTGATTTGCCATTTCCTTCTCCAGGTTATTTTACAAATAAGGAAATGGAGGCAAACAGAGTTAAGTAACTTGCCCAGGATTATACAGCTAGTGTCTGAGGCTGCATTTGGACTCACATCTTCCTGACTCTAGGCCCAGCACTCTATCTAGTGCCACCTACCTGCCCACAAAATGTTCAGGGACCTTCATTTATTCATCTAATAGATGAATGAAGATGGGTATCTGTTCTACATTAACAACTACTGTTTTGGAATGGTGGCACAAGGTTCCCAAAATACTGCTTCACTGACAAGTTAGATAATATAGCAAGAAATTTGTATTTTACAATAAATAAATAAATAAATAAACAAATAAACAATCTCAGTGAATTTTCCTGATCTTAGTTGACATACCATAGGAATAACTGTTTATCATTAATTGTAAAAACAAACAACCTCATTAAGATAATGTTTTAAGGCTTACAAAGCACCTTCCAGATAACAACTCTGTGAGAGAGTAGTATAAGTATCATAATTCTCAGAGGTCAAAGGCTAAGTCACTTGGCTAGGAGCTTACATCTAATAAGTTAGAGCCAAAACTTCACTATAATCCAGCACTGTCATAATGAAAAGGTTTTCTGACTTTTAACTATTATACCACAAAGCTTGTTAGTTTTGGCCTTAACCTCTTGAGTCAACTAAGGAAATATTTATTGAATAGCTACTAAGCATCTAGAACTATGCTAGGCACCAAAGTCTAAGATACAGTGCCTACTCTAAAGGATTTTAATTGGTAAAACAAGATGGATACCTCTGAAGAAATTATCTGATCAAAGATCAAAATCAGTTGAATAGAAAATAAGTGCTACAGAAACCCAAATATGGAAGACATCTACAGAGACTGAAGTGGTTAAGGTGGTGCTAAAGCTGTCTTTTGCCTTCAGGTGAAAGGCATTCTAGGTGAGGAAGCACAATTAATTTAGTGATTGTGGCATAGTACTGTTTGATAAGCATACTATAACCACAAAGAGGCAGCTAGGTGGCTCAGTGGATAGTGTTGCACTTGGAGTAAGGATGAACTGAATTCAAATCCGGCCCCAGATACTTACTGTCTGTGTGACCCTGGGAAAGTCAGACTCACTCAGCCTGTTTCCTTATTTGTAAAATGGGGATAATAAAGCACTTATCTTATAGATGTTAGGACCAAATGGGATAAAGTGTGAAGCACTTTACAAACCTCAGAGTACTATATAAATGCTAGCTACTATTATTATGGACCTAGGTTGTAGGTTATAGAGCTGTAAGTTCTCCTTCAAGGTCACCTAGTTCAACCTACTCCTTTTACATATGAAGAAACTGAGGCCCAGAGAAATTGAGTGACTCGTTAAAGGTCACAGAACTAGCAAATGATAGTACTGGGATTTAAACCCAGGTATGCTGCCTCCAAATCCAGTGCTTTCTCTTGTATGTGTTGCTTCCATAACTCATAAGCAACATTTCTGACAAAGACACCAAAGCTCAGATTACACTGTCCAGAGATGGGTACTTCACTAAAAATAAGATAACATCCCTTATGTAAATCAATAAGTCACTATTATTACACACTACTGCCTAACAAGGCAGTCTATCCTATTTTGGTATACTTCTAATTGTTTTACAAGTCCTCATTTTGGTTTGAAAACTGCTTCCATGTTATTTCTACCCAGTGGTCCTGGTTCTATCTTCTGGAGCTACACAGAATATACATATTCCATCTTCCACGTGATCCATTTAAACATTTGAAGACATCTATCAAATTCCCTTCTAAGTCTTATCTTTTGCAGGAGAAACATTCCCAATTTTTTCATCTACTATTGTATATGGTTTTCAGATTCTTCACTATAGCATAGTTGCTCAAATTTGAACACAATACAGTTTCATGTGTGATTTCCCTAGGTTAGCTTTTTTCTCCAAGGGCTGAAAGTCAATTAAACTAGCTACTCTGAAGATGTCATTTCTAATGAAACAAAATGATCTACCCTCTGGAATTGCCATAATAAAAATCTGGATAGCTGAAATAATACCAGGAGGTATCCAGCGGCCCATTTAAAATTTATCCTTCTTCAATACATACCACTATATGTAAAGGTATTAGAGTTGCAAAGGGAATAAGTGAAGATTTTATAGAAGAAATACCATTTGTCATTGGGCCGGGCTTTAAAGAATGACCTAGAATTTAAAAAATGCAGGGAAGCCATTCTAAGCAAGGGAATGATATTAGTAAAGTCAGTAAGAGGACAGAGTCAAGAATTATCCAATTAGGCCCCAGTGTGGAGTACATGGAAGGGAATAATATGAGATAAACCCAGATATATAGGCTGGTACCAAAATTGTGGAAGGCCTTAAATGTAAAGTAGAATAGCTTCAAAGTTATTTGATAGGCAGTAGGGAGCCACTGAAGATTTTTGAGTGAGATAATCAGAGATCTTTGAATACACAGATTTATTTTAAAAGTAATACCAAGGATAGATTGAAAAGGAGAGAATGTAAAGGGAGAGAGGCCTATTAGGAAGCTACTTCAATAGTGCTGGTGGATGACCAGGATGTTGAATTGACAAGATGTGATAAGTGACCGGTTTTTCAATAACACTAATTGGTGATGTATTACAATGAAATCTCTTTGATTCTTTCTTTGTACTAGTGCCTAGCACTGGGGATGGCATATAGCAGGCACTTAAAAAATGCTTGTTGATGCTATGATACCATTATTATTATTATTATTGTTATTAAGAATTCTGACTATGGTGAGTCTATACATATAGGACTCAACCATAAGCAAGGCGAGTTACAGGGAGGCACCCAGATATTACTGACCTACCTCTAGTACGACGCTTGGTGTCAGGTTCAGCTTCATTCTCCTTGTCTCCATCATCTTCATTAGTGGAGACCATATCTAATTCACGGCAGATCTGGCTACAAATAAGAGAACTACAAAGTTGGGTCTAGGTTGTCATTATAACATAACTACTTAATTAACAGCTATATTATTACACCATGCTGCTCCTGAGTAGCCATAGACACATTTTAGGAAGAGATCCAAGTAAGCCTACTCAGAACAGGGGTTTCTAAGAAAATTTAAATAAAGGGCAGCCACTGATATATAACACACCTTATGGTAGGAACGGTGAATGGGTCAAATTGATCCACTTTCTGCAAATTAATAGGAACAGAAATACGACCTACAAGAAACAAAATAAACAAACAGCTTTAACTCTTTGCAGTTAATAGAGGACAAGTCATTTAAATTTGCCTGTGACAAGAATTTATTCAATAATACTCTACTAAAAATAAAATGGGGGAAAGCAGAACTAGAAGCATTTTGAGAAATGTTTAGAGTTGTTATACAACAAAGTTTATAAAATCATGCGCAGTCTGTACAGAGAAGACATTGGCTTGTTCACCAGCTCTCTGAACAATAAAACAAAGGGTATCACTTTGAAGTTTGAAGTTAAATTTCAGACAACTAAAAAGGAAGTACTACTTGAATCTACTATCCAGAGATGGGATAGGCTGAAAATAACCTCAAAAAGTTTAGATAAAATCATGAACAACAGAGCCCTAAGGAGTTACACCAAGGGAAACAAACTTTGAGGATGTACCAACTCTAAGGAGGAAAACCACATCCCACTCTAACATATCTCTGTCAAAGGCAGGGCATTGTGCTGTGTGGGCCATGGCTATTCCCCAGCATGGCAATTTTCATTTTCATTTCAAATTCACACTTTGGATTCATTAAAACAACTAAAAAAAAGACCTAAAAATGTCTTTTATAATCACTGCAACCACTGAAAAAATGATGGAGAGAGTACTGGGCTAGGAATTAAGAATCCCAACTCTACCCCTAATTAGAAGTATAACAGTGGAAAAATAACTTGATCTCTAGGGTTCCTTCCAATTTGTGAATTCTGATATTAATATTGTGAATAACAGATCCATTTAAAAAGTACACAGAGGGTCAGCTAGGTAGCACAGCGGATAGAGATTCAGCCTGCGAGTCAGGTGTACCCGAGTTCAAATCCGGCCTCAGACACTTGACACTAGCTGTGTGACCCTGGGCAAGTCACTTAACCCTGATTGCCTCATCAAAAAAGAAGAAAAAGTACATAGTTAGTGGCAATTGTTTAGTGGATAGTGTCTGGCACATTATAGGTACTTAAGGTTTTTTAAAATTTAAATTTGTTATTACTTAATTGATTTTAAAGAAAGACTTTTAACTCAGTTACCTCATGGATTACTGACTAGATACCAACTCTTCAACCTTTCTGTCCCCACCCATAAGACTTTCTTGCTAAAATAAAATGTCACAATATAATTTTCATTTCATACTTGTATTTATTTAAATTTTACCTGTTTTAGGATGAACGCTGAACGGACTCTTCAGTAAATGATTGATTCCTTTGCTAACATTAATATCCAGCCGAGGAAAACAGTACTGTAGCATGATCTCCAAATCTACCCAGGGTCCAAATTTCTCATTTTTGACAGCCTTTTAAAAACAAACAGAAGTCCAATGTGATAAGCAGCAAAGAGTCTTTTAAATTATTTTTTTCTTTTTTTGTCTGGTTCTGTGATTTCATTGGTATAGCAAACTCCTAAAGAAGAAACTCTGTACCAATGAAGATGGATATCTGTTCTACAACTTCCAGTCTTAAAAGATTGCATGGGGCACTTATAAGGTCAGCTTAAGGCCACATGTCAAAGTCACAGGCCAGTATGGCAACAGGAAGACTCAAATCTGATCTTCCAGACTCTGAGACCAGCTAGGCCATGCTGCATCTCTATTTCTTTTTGCAAGGCAGAAATGACTGGCCATTTTCAACATACTAAGAAAAAAATGAGTACTCAATAAATTACATTGTTTCCCTTTCCAAA